ACGCCCGGCTACTTTTTGATTTATTGTAGAGATGAGGTCTTGCCAAGTTGCCCGGGCGGGTCTCAAACCTGCGGGCTCAGGCAATCCACTCACCTCGGCATCCCAAAGCGCTGAAATTACAGGCTGAGCCACCAAGCTCGGCCAGTTAATGCTATTCTTAAGGATATTCAACTTAACTCTCAGGGTATAATGTAGGCACACAGAGAATATGGCCCATTAATCCTTTCAAAAGCTTCCTTTCCAGACTCTAGCACAGGGTCAGCAAGAGCAGCAAACTACTAACAGCAGGACAATCCACTCCCCTCACCTGTCCTGTTTTTATGTTTCCCCCTCCTCCTCCAAGCTAAGAATGCTTTTTACATTTTATAATGCCTAGAAAAAAGAGAAGAATATTTTGTTATTGGTGGTAATTAAATGAACTTCAAATTTCAATGTCTGTAAATAAAGTGAAACCCAACCACACCATTCCTTCAGGTATTGTCTTTAGCTGCTTTCAAGCTATAACAGTAGAACCGAGTATTTGCTAAAGAGACCAGCCATATGAACTGCAAAGCCTACATATTTACTCTCTAGCACTTTACTCAAAAAGTTTGCCAAACCCTAGACTGTATCAACACATTAAATTACTTCTCACTTCAAGGATAGGCAGCAAAAATCTACTTCCTACTAGCAAAGACTACCTTGATAACTACCTTCTTTATTTCTCATAGTCAACCTCTTTTTTTCTTTATCCTTAATAAAAATGTATATGACACTTAGATTCTAATCTTCTAAGAATTTTTAGATTTGGGGATTCATGGAGAAGTTATTTCCTTGCAAAATAGGCAGTATCTTCAAGAAGTCAAGCTCTAGTCAAACTCAAGGTATTGAATTAAACTTTTCAAGGTATCTGAAACTTTTATTGCCTATTCTTTACGTGCTGTGAGTCAAATACTGTTTGATGCTGCAGGAAATAAAACATTCTTATCCTTGCTCTCAAGAGGCTTACAGTCTAATTAGATCTCAGCAACTCGAAAGTTCACTCTACCGTTGAAATTTTATACCAAGTGGGCTTAGATATTTTCCTAAGAATTCTGAGGCACTTTCCTTAATTTAAAAGAAATGTATACAAGCAGTAAAGAAATAGGACTCTGCAAATGACTCTGGTAAACTATGGTGCACAAGTTCCAAAAGCTTCTGTATTCCCAAGGGTCCTAGAGCTTTTGCCAAGTGTTCACCTCCACTTTGGCTGTTTGGACCTACCCCTAGTTAAATGTCCTAAATGCAGTCACCCAGGTTTACTTATTTTAAGTAATGCATCGATTTAAATATTGCTAAAACTTGGCCACGCTAATGAGAATAAAGGCCACCTGCAGGTCTGATCACTAGCCCTAAAGGCAACGATGGTAAAGAGACTGCTTCCATGAACAACTCTCCCCACAAAGCAGAGAGCCAACCGTGGGGTGCTGGTTTTTCGAAGCCATTCCGCGGTGCCTCAGTTGCCTTGGCATTTTTTAAGAAGTGACTCATCGCCTCCAGTCAGGTTCTGCCCAGGAAATGCCAGGTCGGTTTCTTTCCAGCACTTTCCGATCGGGGGTGGCTCGGGTCGGAGCCGGCGCGACGGCACCCACCCCCACACCGTGGTGAGACTTGCGGAGCACGGGCGAGACCCCCAGAGTGAGAGCGGCCTGGCGCGCGGCGGCGCCCGGG